GCTGCGAAGAAGAACCTGCCAAGGAAAAAGGGCAACACTTGCAAACCCCTCTTGCACTGCCACGGACAGATTGAAAATTGAAAACCAGCAGGCAGTGCCTTCGTCGACTCAGCCAGCCCAAGCTTGTCCGCAAAGGGGCCTTGTAGCCAAGCAAGCACGGTCCTTTTCTCTAGGACCACGTCAAGCCAACCCTTCTGGTTCGTGTTGCGCCCGGTCAAGCTTCGGAATGTCATCTCACCATGGGACATGAAACCGCGGTCGATGTACAAGCGCATGAAGCTGACGGCCCAAAAAGCTGTTTCAGCTGACTTGCATTTCATCTCAACTGCAAGGAGCTGAGACATGAAATGGAAAGGGCTTTTTGTACCATGTCGTCTCTCCATGTCGAGGATCACGGCCTGGACATCTGGACTTGTGAAAAGAGCATCCCAAATATGGAAACAATTCTCGATGTACTTCAGGCTGACCATTTCATTTCTGTCGCGCGGGGCTTGGTCCACCTCTCTCGTGTACCGGTCGGCAATATCCTGCGCCTTCCAGTTCTTCTTCTTGCGCAGCATCTGGAATTCGAAGATTTTCTGGACGGCTGTTCTGGCCTCCAACTCGTGCCGCATGGCGATCTGCTCTCGCATGTTTGCTTGAGCAAAGTATCTTGCCTCTTCGGAAGCAAGAACAACAAACTTGAGAGGAACCGAAAGCAAAAGCCGTCTGATCTGGATGCGGTCATTCTCGGTGACACCGGCATCCAGCAGCTCCGCTATCCAGAGCAGAAAAGCGTGTTCTGGTTCCTCCGGACCTGTGGCCCATGGACGGGTCGGAGCAAACTACACGTTGCACGCACGGTGATGCACTCAGGCCCGGGCTCACTCTCTGCAGATTTCTGGGATCAACGAGAGGCTGGGCATTCTGGACAGCGATCACCATTTCTAGCGGGTACACGTGCAGCTTCCCCTTTCGGAAGGGGCTGCCGAAAAGTTTGTCCTTCACCTCCTGGAGGATGCTTTCGTGGATGGGAA